CAGAATTTATTGGTGCTTGCCAGAACTAGGAAGAACTTGGAAGCCACTGTGCATAAGACTAGACAACTGTGTACAAAGTAGAGAAATACACTCTTATGTGACCTTCATGTAATAAAACAAACTGCGCAAGAGTATTGATATGTATCACCTTATTCCTCTGTACACAAAGCCATAGTTCTGGGATAAACTTGATAGCCCACTTGTAAGATTTACTAGAAATCTGACACTTAAGCCTAGAGGGCATTTCTCTCCAGGAAGCATCCTCCTGTCTAGAATGTTTCTCTGAAATAGAAATGACGTTAACTCTGGTAAGAAATACGTAAGCTGAACTGACAGACAGTTCTGAAATATTAAACAATGATATGAAAATAAGGCACGTGCATTGACTTTATTTTGCCTTTTCCATACTGCTTGTTTTACATGCTGGAACAGACAATTTCTCACAGTGCTGTGGGAGGAGGGAGAATGCCCTGAGGGTATGAAACAGGTAAGTTTTCTTTGCTAAGAGTTGAGTAAGTTAGTACTGCTGTTTAAGCATAGTACCTAGTTGCCTTCTTGGCTTGAGAGTTGTGGTCTTCAGCTCTTTGCATATTACGTTGTCTGCACTAGGTGAAGTTTGCCCTTAAAGCCAGCCTTGTATGCCACCTACTCCTTTTTTCTTTAACCCAGCACAGCTAGTAAGACTGCTGTGTACCATCTTTCCTTTCTGCTTTCCACCTCCTGTGGTGCTCACAAACCCTTCATGTTTTCTTGCACAGTTTCAAAACAAAAAATCCTTTATAGCTCCCCAGGTGCTTTAAACCTGACCTCTTAATCCAGCTGTCACTTTCCCCAGCTGCCTACCGCTGCTAAGAACTGTCTGTGTAAGTCTGTACTAAGAACTGAGGTGAGAAATCTTAGTCTTTTTGGTGACGTGTTATAAGATGCCCAAGACAGCTCCAGGGCTATCCTTTGTCCTGAAATGTACGTCCCTACATTACGTGATATCTTGCCACCTATCCTGTAGTACTCAAATGGATTGCAGAGGCTTTGGGTGTGCTGGCTGACCTCAGCTGGGATATGTGCTTGATCTGAAACTACAGAATTTCATGACTGAAACTAGATGAAATTTGAGAAAGTGCATAGACAGAATCTGAAATTGTTCTAACCTATACACCTGTTTCTTTAGAGACTGGAAAGAGTACTGATGTAATGAAGAGAATTTAGTGAGAATGAGTTTAATCAAGACAGCTGGTACCACTTACTGCACTGATAAGTGAAAGGCACAACAGTACTGAGATAAGTAAAATTTTGCTCTATGTTGTGTGTCACTATATGACAGTTGACTTTGGGTGTCCTTAGACTATTAAGGGGAGCATTCCCTCTTTTTAAAGAGCAGTAGTGCAGCACAGAAGGGAGTGTATCCATGCCCTGGCTCTCACTGAGTTAACATTCACTCTTTAGAGAACTAAGAACTCTGCATTATACCGGGCATATGTAGTGTAACCTAATTGCAACACCTAACGATGAAACTGGCAAGTAGGTAAGTTCAGATTATCAAACACAATTGTGCCTGAAGCCCAGTGAGCAAAGATAGTGGATATAGCTGAAACTGCTGTGCTTTATGTTAGGTGTGCCTCTTGGAAAACTCAGGGGTAAGGCTGCTTTCTGTTTTTTTTCTGTAGCAGTTTCTGGTCAGAATTCAACAGCAGCCAGAGGCACCTGACCACCCCTGTCAGCCACTGGGATCAAAAGCACCAAGTTGCTGATGCTGGGACAAGCGTTCCGTATGCCCTAAAGCTAAAATGTCAGGATTTCCCTTCAACTCAACCAGAGTTGAGTGAGTTGATGCTGGTAAGTAACATTCACACTGCTAACAGCTAAAACTTGAGTTAATATATTACAATGTTGAAAAGACGTAAGCTTAGATAAGGCAGAAAAACTGATTACAGAAATGGTTTGACAGATTAATAATGGCAGCCTAAATTACCTTGCATTACATACATGGCAGTTGCCTGTTACCAATAACACTCTGAACTGCACTTGATAGCAGCTTGAATAGAATACATACATTCAGCTGAACATGTGCGTGTTTTGTACAGTAGAAAATTACACACGAAGCTCAGGTATGAAATGAAATAGGTGCCCCAAAAGGAGCATAATACCGCTTCTACAAATGGTGTACAAAAAATGTTTATGGTGGAGGGTGCTGAGGTTTTCCCCATTATGTTTGATGAACTTCGTGAAACATGAGTTCCCGAGGTATGCTTGTTTCAGGGCCGTGGAGCTTGGATGCTCTTCTTTCAAAGGCAGCAACCATCTGCTTTACCACTTCATCGAAGAACAGTGTAGCAAGTTGCGAGTGTAGAAGTGAACGAAATTCAAAAGAAATCTGTCAAAATAAAGGAGATGGTTTTTGTCCCGTTGTGGTAAAATGTCATTAGAACTAACTTGAAAATCTTCAATTAATGCTACAAGTAAGCTGTAGAAGAAAGAACAGTTAAAACTGAATGATGAGTGTGAAATTGAAGAAAAGCCTAATTCTTGGGTCAGAGGACTGCTTCCCTAGGTTTTCCAGTTAGCATTTTGTTGGTGCTCGTATGCATCACTTCCATTTTTCTAAGTTAGCTGTATCTTAACAAAGGATCACAAAACATACATGGATTTGGGATAATGGAAGAACTTCCAACCAATAGTAACAACTTCATTACTTTGCACGCAGAATTCGAGTGACAGAAGTTTGAAGAAAATCCCACGAGGCAAGACAGCAGATGTACAGGTAAGCTGAAGCAAACTCAAAGAGGGGTTAAAAGGCACTTTGAAGTAGTTACCTGTTAGGCACCAACACTGTTTATCCACCTGTGTAGATGTCGTTAACCGTATGTTCAAACAAGGCTTCTGTACTGACTAAAGCTACAAATTTGCTTTTATCTGCTCTGTCTCCTTCCTGGACACCTAACTGTACCTTTGCTGTCCTGACACAGGCAGTCAGTTTTGGAGCACAGAGGTACTGGCTGAGTCCTTCGTACCAAATCCTTGTGCCTTATATTCCCTTTTAGCTACTGAATCTCTCATTATGCTGAAGCTACTGTAGTAGTTAGCACTTAAGGCAGGAGCAAGTGAGTTTGCTTTCTGTCTCCTCCCCCAAAAGAAAACATGATGACAACAGCAAGGTCACTTTTATGTCAGCCAGCCTTCAAGCTTTGTTTTGTTGTTTTTTTTTGCTGTGCTGGCCCTCGGTCCAGTTAAGAACGTTCCCCTTCAGGCTACACTATTGGGTTTAGTTCTACAGCTTCCAGAAATTACTACAAAATCATCAGGAAAAGAAATAGATTGCTCTCTTGCACTTTAAAAAAAAAAAAGTCCTGCATGTTTTCTGGACTGTGATTTAAGTACTTTTGTCCTACTTGAGAAATTAGCAAATAAAATCTTAAGTGAGGCAAATATGTATTCTCTTAAATTGCTTATGAGTAATGCATATGAGCTGCAGGAATAGTAATACGGAAGTAATTTAACTATGGGGACTGTAAGCCAGGTGTAGCTTCATTTGCATTTGTTTGATCTCAAGCATCGGTAAAATTAATGTGCCTTCTGAAAGTCTGAGAGGCCTCACAGCGTGTAGAGTTCTGCAAAGCAGGGATCATGAGCATTACAGCATGCTCAGGAACCATGTAAGAACTTTGAGGCACGGCATACATTCATGAAGCTTGCAGATGGCAACCCATTGTGCTTAAATCCATATACCAAATCAGTGAAGAGCTGAAACATCTCAAAACAACGCCTCGTTACAGTTCAGCATACGTGCAGCGTACCAGCAGACTGGCAGAACAATGCCATAGGCCAGGGGAGCCAGCATAAGCAAAACTCAAAACTTTCTAAAGCCAACTAGGACTCAGTGTTCTCTCCAACCAGATCAGTTCCCAACCAGATCAGTGTTCTCTCTCACTCAGTTACGCAGTATGTTTTGAGAAGTTTGTTCTGAAGTGTTTATCAATGCAGTCAGGTTAGGCCTGAGGCACAGCGCGTTGGAATTGGGCAAGGGTTACAATCGTGAAGTACTTGCTGTTGTAAGACAACCTCCTGCTCACCTGGCTGTATTTGCTTCTGTTACCTCAAATGACGTAAGCAACGTAAGGTATTAATGGTGTTTCTTTGAGAAGAAAATGCCCATTTTAAGTGCAGATTTGAGCCTAACTGAAATTCTCAACCTGAAGTTGGCTTCAATGGGGAAAAAACTTTCTGCACAAACCCAGTACTTAAAGAGCAGGGTTTATATAAATGCTTAATTGAAGTTTTCTCAAGTTAATTACTAGTCAGTAGCAGGAACTGGCACTTATTAGCCTGGAGAAATTTAACTACCATGAGCAACTAACATGCAAACATGGTTAATAAATGCCATGAGAAATAAATTTTCAAGTGCCTATAGGTTAATTTTTGGACTGTTGAAGCTCAGTACAGCAATAAGGTGAAAGTTACTAACCCAGTGAGGTTATGTGGCACTTGACAAATACTCTAAAAGCTCTTTTTCCTATTTGCAGAAGAGATTTTTCAAAGCAGAGTGTCCCAGTATAGGCCAGCAGCATCAGGCCATTCCTGTGATATCCTAAAATAGAAGGGCAGCATTTCTCTAAAGAATTATGCAGCAGTGTTTTAGGTGGAGTGGGACTTAAAGTACATGAAATAGTAAAACTAAAAGTTGGGAAATCAAGCTGGCAAAACTTGTAGGCCAAACAGGATAGATGGGAGAATATCTACTTTCTGATAACAAGAGTACTTTGGTTGTAAACTAATCAAAGGAAACAGCAAAGTCCATGAATATGTTTATGCTTTCTCCCCCTGTATTTGCTTATCTAAAACTGTAACACATAGAGAATGTTAAGGTCAGAGATACCAGTCCCTAGTCGTTGTGTGTGGACATCTCGCAGAGAGCTGCTGTCTCTAAAGAACCATGCAGCAGTTTCCACGTGGTAACGTTCACAACAGTTAGCTCAGTTTCAGTGTCAGTGGGTGGGAGGGCAGAGGGAAAATGGTACCACATACTCTTTTTTCTTACATGTAACCAAAGAATATTTTTATGCCCCATTTCTCGCATGTCCAAGTTTTAATTACAGTACTTACTGCAAAATCCAATGTGCATGTCCTTGGATAGGCAGGGATACCTGGGCTGAAGCGCCAGATTGTTTCCAAGTGATTAAATAGCTTTCCATCAGTGCAGGATGCCTAAAAGAAAGTTTGAAAAGCCAAGCTGCAGTTAAGCTCCTACACGAGGGACAAATCAGGATTACTGAACGTGCATTCGCATTCTGCTAGACTGTGAGGGTCACAGCATAGTTAAAAATTGTTCTCAGTAGTGCAGCCAGCGAGAGATCTCATTTGCACAGCGTCACGTAGAGTAAAATAACTGAAAACCTTGTATGGTGGGGGAAGGATTTTTGTCTTGAGTCGTAAAACAGATCTCTCGCCTAAGGCATCGCACACCACCATAATGTTAGTGCTCTATTACCAAAATATTGGTATAACACTGTTTTCAGCAAAGGATGTCGATATTTACTGGCTTTGTATATGTATTTATTTTAATACGTGTATAGAATGCTTTATATATTAATGTGTAGACCAGTAATCTTGTGCTATAGGAATGTTTGACTTCAATCGGGTTTATTTTGATGCTGAACTCAAAAAGTCCTTTGTCATAAGGCACTATCATCATCAAGAACTACCCCAAAGTCAGTGAAACCATATACACTCAAGTTCATAATTGCCTTATATCTTGGCTTTGTTTCCAGCAAGACACATTTAATCAGTGATCTGAGAGCCCTTCTATACAGTCCTACTTTAAAACCATAAACCAAGCCGCCTCAAAGACTGATCAAATGCAGAAAAGTACCTCATTTTTTTCTGCCCAGTATAGCAATACTGTGCCTCACTGCTTCTGCAACAGAAGGGGAAGGAATAGAGAGAAGGGCAGACAGGAAAAGGGTGCTGAGCCCTTCAGGCCTGTTGCTGACAAAAGGACAGGAAGCATGGGGAAAGTGCCAGCATGTGCCCCTTGCTCCCAACCTGACAAGCAGTGAAACTCAGCCAGCTCTTCCCTCAGCAGCAAGAGCTGCTGCTACCAGCTTGATTTTCTAGGGCTTAAGCACTGCTGCTGGAAGCAAGAAATCCATGTTCATTTTGTCATCGCCAATAGGCTGCTATACAGAAACACCATGCAAGCTGCCTTTGCCCAGAGTTATTTCTGAAGACAGTGTAATAGTCCAAACACATAGTACTTCATGGTAATGTTCCTACAGTTACATGAGCATAATGTAAACTTGTAGGAAAAATCATCCCAGCAGAGATAACACATTTCTTGGTCTTTTCTGAGATGGAAACTTTTCTTTTGACGGAATAAAAGCGAAAAAGGCTTTTTAAGGCAACCTGATATCTATCTGTGAAAGAAGAAAAAAAAATAGGCACTCTTGTCAGGGAAGAACAGAAAGGGAAAGCATGTAAAACGCAGATTTTTCTATTGCAATTGTTCAACTTTATTAGAAATGCAAGGAAGTTTTTTTTTTCTTTCCAAAATTAGTAAGTACCTTGATTAAAAGTACTTTGCATGTTCTCTTTCCAATTCATGTCCCCCCTGCACTTAAGAAACCCATTTCTGTTTTGAGCAGTGTCCCATAAGAGGAAGCCTAGAAAAGAACAGTAAAATAAGATGTCCAAATACGTGTCTTGAATAGTAACCAACTGTCATTTCATTAATTGCTCCAAAAGGTGATCAAAATTGCCACATAAAGGGAGAGGCAGTTGGTACAGATCTGGTTGGGGCTGTTCCTAACAGAGTGAACCTGTGAGGTAGACAAGCAGTTGGAAGATCCTGGCCTCATTTAAGTTTCTCCTTTAATTATTGCCCTTGAAAAGCTGAAAGGAGAAAACACACAATTGCTAAACAAATAAATTCTAAGAAATGGACTTTAAAACAACTGATGTTCTCATAATATATTGAATAACAAGCTCTTCAGCAGATCTTCATCCTGAAGTTAACACTTCTTACATAATTCAAACTGTCAGAAGAAAAAGAATGATTTTGCTCAGATACCAGAAGCGACAGTTGTCCGATAACTTTGAAGCCATTGATTTTGCATTTAGATAGGCTTGATACATAACAAAAATAAACACGAACTGGCTATCTTGAATGGCTGCCTCTTTCTCCAGCAAAAACAAGCTTAAAAAACAATTTTTCCCCTATTTGGCAGCCGATGTTTTAAAAGCAGATTCAAATTATCCCTGAGTAACCTGAAGTTTTTAAGGAAAAGCACCAGTTTTGTACCACGGGAAGCAATATTGGAATGTCTAACACATGAGTTATGGAGAGCAATAGGTAAGAAGAAGTTACCTTAACTAAGTGTGGTCTCACCAGGGTAACAACCGATGTGTATCGTTCTACTACAGGAGGGAAGCCTATTTCTAGCTGTGCTTTGCAGTACCCAGAGCGCTTCGATAACACGTCTGACTTTTTACACCAAGGCACAAATAGCTTGTAGTTCTCCACAACAGCAACAACTTCGTACATTTCCTGCATAGAATAACTGGAATAAAAAGGTGAGCGTTACAGTTACCTGGTGTTTTTACTATGAATTCAGTATTAAAAGGTTCAAAGATATCGTTTATGACACAGGCAGTTCTGAAGGTGAACATGCAGATACCAGAAAACCCTACTGTTACTTCTGAAAATTAAACATGCAGCAAGAGAAAAAAAAAGCTATTATAGTAAAAAAAAAAAAAAAAAAAAAGCTATTATAGTAAATTGGTGAAAGCCTTTGCAGAAAGAAGCAAAACAGCACACAGCATCCAGCTGTGAGGTTAGTGGCCGCTGGGCCTGTTGCCTGCTACTTTCTGCAGTACTGGGGAAGCATGCTTAGATTTCAAATAGAAAAAAGAGTTTTTTCCAGCATGGTATGTTGTCATTCGGGTGGATGTGACGTTTCACGCAGTGAAAGAATGTGCTCTTCACATCCTCCAAAAAAGGGATGGCAAAACTAAGGGCCTGTGTTTTAGAAGGTTTAAATAGAGCAATGCTGCGTTCCTTACTTAGCTCCTAAAACAAGCTGATTAAAAAATACACTCGCTGGAAAAACAGTATTATTGGACAAAGGTTCCTTTTAAACAACTACCCACAATTTATTGCAGCTCAAGAATTACTATATAAATGAATGTTAAGTATCATCAAAAATATTAAACGTAATGAATGAATTATACTACTGCAGACTGGAGCCTGGGAACAGATCCCGATCTCATTAAGTTGATGAGAAGTTTTCCACAGTCTTTTTTCTGTGTGCCTGTGTTTCTTAATCCCACAATTAGTTATTTTCTTTCTTTTGAAAAGAGAACAAAATCTCAAGTGAGAAGTACCACAAAATCTAAGTGTAACATTGCACGTATTTGCAAGAAAAGGGGGAAAAAAAAATTCAGTTCTCCCATCTTTTTGTATACCCCCATTTCACCAGATTAGTGATGCATGCTTCCCTGTTGGGACTGTTTTTGTTCTGTTGCAGAATAAAAAGGTTATTTCTGCTTTTTCTTTCAAAGGAGAGACGGTATTTTAGGTTCCTCAGTTTTTGGTATTGAATTTCAGACATGAACAGCCTGACATCTGCAAGTTCTGGATGTCAGAACTTACTGCTGGTCTCCAGCTGGGCACAGTCTCAGGGCCGTGTATCTTCAGGGATGGTCAGCCTTTGGATTTCCAGTGTTTCTGATTAATCACAGCAAACACAAATTTTCAAATTTCTATACATACCCTATAATTCTCCTTTCAGAGTATTCTTTTCTTTTATTTACTAGTGGTGCAGCGATGTTGAAGAAACTTCTTGAAAAGGTATGGCTCAGCACAGGCACTTGCAGAGGAGAAATTCTGGTCATCAGAATACCACAAGAAGCCAAGTGCCTGCAACAGTGAGAATGCTTTTAGATGTTTGTGTTTTCAGCAAGGCAGATCACAGCAGGTGAGATGGCACAGTCTGCTCAGTAGTGTTCCAGAAAATGTCCAACTTACACAGAAAAACAAAAGCTGGTAGCAGTTTGCAGTCTATTCAAAACATGAGGTGGTTTTTTTTTCCCTTTAGTAGAAACTAAAAATAGCTCCCAGTCACGAGACAAGAAGCTGGCAGAGCAAAGTAACAAAGGCCCCCATTAAACACCGGCTTCGTGGCAGCCTGAGTTCTTGTACAAGACTCGTGCACTTGCATTTGCAGAATATAACTTCTTACCAGCAAAATCAAGGCATACCTCGCATTATTTTGGATCATGCAGTGCTTGTGTTTGCAGTTACAGCAGTAATCCCTCTGCTGCCTTCTTTCTCTTAAAAGGAAGATTTTATTTTGGAAGTGCTTTCAGAAACTGCACTGCATCCCCAGCACTGAACATTTTCTTGTCTTGAAAATAACACACAAAACCGTGAATGTGTTGTTTTCAGAAATTACACCGAACAAATTAAGAAATGCTATCAGTTCAGATCCCATCTCAGCTTTTTCTCTGTGAACAACTGCACTACAGCCTAGCAAGCACTCACTGTGGTTGATAGGTCTCATGCTAAATTACCACTTTTGCCTAGATTGAGCCAGTTCAGATGTAAAATGTTAACTCAGCTACGGGTTTTGGCACCAGGGAGTTCAAAATGTCACTGTTTGCTGTCAGCAGTTCTATGTACGTAAGCTGGAACACAACCAAGGTCTTTTTCTGTTTCATTAAACAATCAGGACTGTACCTCTAGATTTACAAAGTCAAAAATTGAACCAACCTTCCATGCCTAGTAGAAGACTTGTTTGTTGTTTCTTTAACACACTGAGCAGTGATGGATGCCATTTTTTCCCACCCACCAAAGTAGTTTAGCAAATTACAGTTACTGATTTTAAGCAGTTGAAATTATTATTAACATGCTCTTTAAAAATCAACATAACTTTCAATTTAAAAGAAATGCAGTAATAGCCCTAGACTGACCACATTACTCTGTATGGTCACTGTACTTGAAGGAATGAAAAGAACAAACTGGTTTTGGGTTTAGAGGGAAATAAATATCCCCATCGGCTCATTAGCAATTATCTGCACAGACTTCTTTAAAAAATAAATGAGCAACTGTGAGATGAAGCAGGGTGATTGACACCACAGCCTGTAATCACCACAGCTGAAAAGAGACGACCTAAGGTCCTACATCAGCACAGTGGTGAAATGAAGACAACAAGCCTACTTAAAAAGTCTTCCAACAGCAAGCTCTGCATACATTTGGAATTGTATCTCAAGGGATGGACACAGCCTGTTTTTTTCCCCACTTCAGACCAGACAGGACCATTAAGGATAATTGTTAATTGTGGCTTCAACAGAAATAGTGGATAGGTGCCAGTAACCCTGCAGCCTCAACCAGACTCACTGAAAGAGCTCATAGCTTTGGACCAGAGCTCATTCTGGAGCACTCATTTAAGTTTCTTTGTCTAGAGCTGCCTACAGCACGCAGTCCCAACCTGCTGGCAGGTGTCTTCCAGTAGTTGTTTTTTTTACTGCCAAGCTATGCCAGTGCAGTGTCTCATACAATTTTATCTGCATGCATTTCAGCACAAGGCTGAAAAACAGTCTCTGCAAATGCTTTTGTAGCTACTGGAAGATAACATCCTTTAGCTACATTGCCTTTCAAGGAAGGAGGGGTTACGAGAGGTTATAATGTTAACTAAACTGGTGTGGCTACATGTTTCTCTAGATTATCTGTGAAGAATGGATGCTACCAGAACTTGCTGGGCTTGGCCCCGGTCCGGAGCGGCTCGCTTCTTCAGGAAACCACACAAGTGCGAGCCGCAACGGGCAGTCGTGTGTTCCTGTGAGCCCGGCAGAGGCCCCCGAAGCAAAGCCAAGTCCCTCCCAGGATGCAAGCACCGCTCCTACTGCCGCGCTGCCCTGACAGCCCCTCAGCGCTTCCCCAGCAGCAGCACGTATTCGGGGGTTGTCTTTAATTGCCACTAAGCTTTGCGCTGAATGCCCCTCTCGGTAATTGCTCCCGCTCTCCATTCAGAACTGCATCGTTTCTAAAAAGTTCATTGAAAATGGCTGGTTTACTTTGCAGGACCCAACTATTTAAATGGCGAAGATGTAAAGTGATGTAAAGTGTATCCTGTGTCTGCTGCGCGGTGCAGAATGCGGTCACAGGAAGCCGACAGGCCGTTCCGTAGGCGGGGGCAGCACGAGAGCCGGCTGTGTTTGTGCACGCCGTCCGTGCAGGAGGAGGACGGCTCTGCGGCTTCGCGTTTAACGCAGGAGCGCACAGCCGCGCCTTCCACCGCTCTTGACGGCCTCCCCGCGGCTCTCTCCGCCGCAGCGCCCGGCTCCTTCCCCCCTCGGCACGCAGCCCCGCGAGCCGCAAGCCGCCCGGCCGTAGCAGCCGCCCCGCGCTAAGGAGACGGGAAGCGCGCAGCGGCACGGCTCTGCTGGTGGATCGGCCCGGGCATCGGCACCGCCTCAAGCACTCAACTCGCGGCGCTCCGATCCGCTCCCCCGGCGGCGTCAGAAGTGCCGGCAGCCGAGATCGCTCACCTCGCCCGCCGCTCCCCGGGGCCTACCTGACAGCAGCCGCTCGGGGCGGCGGCGCGGCGGCGAGCCTCCCTGTCAGCGCCCTGCCGAGCGCCCGTCCGCTGCGCGCCATCCCGGATCCCGCTCCTCGCCGGCTGCTGCCCGCCCGGCGTTGCCCGACTGTCGCGGCGGCCCGGCCCCGTCCGGCCGCCTATCGGAGCGCGGGGGACGGCGGCGCGGTCACGGGACGGCGGCGGAGCCGGAGGCGGGGCGGGTGGAGCGGCGCCTGCCCCGGATTGGCCCGGCGGCGAGAGCGGCTATACTTGGGCTGCGCGCCGGGAGCCCCGCGGTGTTCGCGGCCGCGTGACGGGCGGGGCGGGCGGTGCCCCTCAGCGCCCCTCAGCTGCCCCGGCCGGCGCTCCTCGTGAGATGCGGGTTTGACGTAGCGTCATCGAAACCTGCGTGTCCTCGCTTGGTCCTGGTTGTAATCCCAGAGCGTTGCTTTGCTAGGCGTCTACTCAAAGAAAAAGCGATGTTATTTATGCCTTCTGACAGGTCACCTTTTAAATAGCTCCCTTCAACACAGCTGCTTTATAACCACCTCACAATTGAAGCTGTGGCTGGGCTCCTGTGCTCTGCAGTGTCACGATGTCCGTACTTCCATGCTGTCCGACAGCCCACGAGCGGTGTTAGCAGTGTCTCTTCGCCCTGTGGTGATGTCTGGCTGGCTGGCGAATACTCACTCAAAATCAGCAATTCAATAAAACTTCAATAGAAGTTTAAAAGCTATTTTAGTTGAAGTACTTGAATACGTGGAAACGAGAAGCAGCTGTGGGCAATGTATGACTCCACATGCATGCCTTCTTCAGAAGAGTCTTCTCTGTCATTTCAGCATCTTTGTCACTGGCTAAAACAACCATTACTCAACAAGAACTATGCCAGTTAAATAACTGGATCTAACTGGAGTGCCTCTCAATCCCATCAGGGCACGGTGTTTTTCAGACCTGTTGTCCTGCAGCGTGTTTTCCACTTGGTGGTCAATGAAAACAAGCAGTATTCAAAGCCCTGCATTCTACAGCACAGCAGGAAAGCAGCCAGGCCAGACAGGCAGGCAGCCCCAGGCCTTGCCCCCACCCCAGACTCCTTCTGCCAGCTCCACATGCTGCAGCATCCATCCTCGCCTGCTGGCTGCTGTTGGCTGGGTGGTCCTGCATCAGTGAAGGTCGCAGCAGACTCTGTAGATCAGGAGCTACATCACACGGAGGCCGACTTACTGCATTTACAGTAACTGAACTATAAAGGTGAGGAACACCCTGAGCCTCTCTGGGGTTTTGTGGGTTTGGTTGGTTGTTTAAACTTGGTGACTTGGGTGGCTCAGAAACAGCCTTTACACCTTGGCTGATATCTACTGTTTGCAAACAGATTTGCATTAACTAACTTTGATAGGAAGAGTGGGTCTAATTAATATTGAACGCTGTGGGTATACCTGAAAGAGCCATCATGTGGTGCCACAGCAACATATCTTTATTTTTTCTTCTAAACACTCTTTTTTTGTTATACCACATCACAAGAGAATGTTCAGTTTAAACTCTGGTTATGACCTTTATACAATTTTAAGGCATTTAAGAATAATCAGGGTCCTTTTAAGTGGACAGGGAGAGTAAACTGTGGATGATGTGGTGTATCCTGGTTTAAAAGCAGGTTATTTTCTATACAATGCTTTCAGCTCTTCCTACAGATGACAGTAGGGCGGCTGCTTAACATGCCCCTGTGGCAACCAAAGATGTGCCAAGCAGAGCAAAAAGCAACCACCGTATTCCCACTTGTAAATGAATTTCAAACAATGCCTGCAATTGAAACATCTCAAAACTGTAAAGTCTCTTCACCGCATCATCTGGCAGGAGAAGGTGATTGATAAACTTGGGAGATGATTAAGTCATTAGTTAATGATCTCCCAAGAATGCTGCCAGGAACTATGGACAGATTTACTATCTCATGCTTCAGTGGATTAATCAGGAGCTACAGTGTAACATCAGGAGAGTGTTCACATGGTACCAGTGAGCTGGGTGTTTCTGGTATAGCAGGAATTAAAGTATTTGGCTGTAAGCCTAAACCTGAAGGCTTTGAATAGTTACATCTTTGTGAGATGTTGGTGGGCCTGTACATCCAAAAAAGGCTGAAATCTGCCTGTCTGTACTCACAGACAGTGTGCAATCCAGCTGTTCTGTTGATGCCCTTTCCCATCTCCAAAGAAACAGAGGCAGTATTTGCTAAAGAAGAGCATTACCACCCAGGTGCCACCCTCGGCCCACCACTGGCTGGGCCAGTGGATTGCTGCCCAAGGCAGCACCGGGCAGCACTCACCCAACAGCACCACAGCAGTGAGGTGACACAGGCCTCCTGGCTTCTCTTGAGACACATCTACCAAAGGGGCCTCAAATCCTCCTTAACCCCATCAGCTATCACTCACGACTGTCTACCTTTGTGTTGGATAGTCTGAATCCTGTTCCTGAATAGGTACATCTCCCTGTAGCCTTCCTGAATCTCTGCTGTTCCCAGCTCGCGGGATGCTCTGCGCTGTTAAACTGCAGAGCTGTGGATAGGTAATGGCTCCTCACTGTTAGGGTATCACATTTATTTTCTGCCTTGTTTTTCCCATGTGTGCAAAGGGGCAAGACCAGCAGTAGTGTGTTGCCAGTGTGGGGCAATGACATTCACAGCTGAGCTCTTTGGGAAATGAGCAAATACAAAAAGTGGGTAAAAGGCAACATGTCCTCCAGGCCTGTGCCTGCCCAGCAGCAGCCGTCACTGCCCTGAGGTAAGGGCCCAGGCAGCACGGCCAACATTTGGGCCGTGCCCTTAGCTTTATCACATTTGTCATCCAAACTGTTTGTTTTCTTCCCCCTCGTTGGCTTTTCAGTAAGGAAATAGATCCTATCTACCTCATTTCTTGAGGTCAGAAGCTGGAACTGGAAGAGATTTATATTTTTTCCTTACTCATGATGTGAGAAACTTGAATTCCATTTCTATGGAGCTGAAACATACCCACTTTTGTTACATTTCTACTCTTTCAGTCAGTAATTTTTGCCTCTAATAGACACATACATGTCAGGAATCAGGTCACAGCAAAAAAAAGCATAACATAGATCCAGGGTAAACCAAGGCAGGGAGTTGTGACCAGATCTGTAGCTTTTTGCATAATGTTAATTCACTGTACAATTCCTTATAGCGTTGTGTATGGGAGAAAAAAATTGAATAAGTTGTTCTTGGAAGACCAGCAGGAGGGAATAGCCACAAGCCTGGCTGCTTGAGTGAACCAGTGCCAATGGCACAATAGAATGGGTAAATCAAGGATAGGAGATGTGACTAGGCACTGCTTTTGGCAACAGTACCAGCTACTGATAGCATAGGCTGGCCATGACATTGGATCTGAATCTGTTAATTAAGCAAGACCTTGCCAGCTTGCGACTTAGGTATGATGCTGTCTGGAAAGCTTCTGGGCTCTTAAAACCAATGTCCTTCCAATCCATAAAGAAATTTCCATGAGGTATATGGACATGTGAGCCCACGGGATGGATCTTTGACAGGTAACATAGGAGGGCTAAACCACTAAGTTACCTTGTCCACATCCTGTGGGAGCTATGTAACAGACAAAGTGTTCAGGAAGCAAGGGTGTAGCTACATTGGGATTCAGGGCTTTGAGAGGCAAATTACAGGACTGTGGTGAGTGTACAGTATTTGTGAGAGGAAAGGAAAACAAAGCAGAACATAGTTTTCTCATTGCATGTTACAGTGCTTTATTACAGCACAATTTCTCTTCACTCTTACAACACAGAACTCCTTTTGTGAGGGAAATGGCATATTCCAAAATCACATTTTAAAAGTGTACCTTAGGATCACTACCCTTGAGCTCAGTTCTGTTTAATAACTGTGGGAAGATAATATTGCTGCCCATAAAGTAAGCTGGAAGTCAGGCTGAAGAAACAAGAGAAACTTACTGCAAATTGATCTTCATGGTGAACCCAAGCATGTGACAGTTACTTAAAATAGTTGCGGGCATTAAATTCCTGTAGTAGGGAATTACTGTCTGCCTTGACCTTATCCTCACATGTCTCTCAACAGCTTGGCATATATCTCTATTCCGCAGCCTATGAATGCATCTTTCTATGAATCCAGGATGTGAGTTTAGTAATACTAAAGAGCAGATCCTCTGTACTTTCAAATGAATCTCTCTTAAGAATATTTAATATTTCAATGCATGCAATTATGTAAAGTATTACAAACACTGAACTAGTCAGTAAACTTCTGCAAACTAAGCAATAAAAAAGCAAAGACACATAGATGAACTGACTGATCAAACACACGTTCTCTCAAACACAAAATGTTGGCTTTATATAAGACAGTCCTCAAGAAGCTGAAAAGTTAACTTTCTTAGTGGGAATGATTTATGAGTAGCGAATGCTGCCATCATGCCTTTGTCCTCTTATTGGAAATGCATTATGTTTTAACTTTTCAGGCGTTTCTAAGTTGACACAACAAAAATTGGTTTGCTCTCCTTGTAGCAAAGGCTTTTGAGGAGATTAGGAACTTGG